TCTAAACAATTATTAACCTTATAGCAAGGTTTTTGCAATATAAGTATAGGCGAAGTTTCCTTCAACACTCTTTTTCTTATTCAGAAAGAAGTTTGAAGCGAATTGCATCAATCTGCATATCTTCTCTTTTCAATTGCTCATTAGAATTGGGTGATGAAGAAGCTATAGAATAATTGGTATATACATGTGGCATAATTGAAGAACATTTATCTTGTCATTGTTGAAATAAATAGTTATTGTACTTCACAACTTGACTAATGGCTTCATTGAGTGTTAGAGGATGTGGCATAGATAACAATAAGTCCTTGATATCGTTTCTTAATCCCTAATGAAATTGGCTCATCAATGCATCTTCTCTCCAATTTATATCACATGCTAATTGTAAAAAATCTGAAGCATACATTGATATAGAACATGTTTTTTGTTAAAGGCTTTGAATTTTAGTTGTTGAAGAATGAACCTTATCATGTTCACCAAATGCTTTTGCAAATGCTGCCAAAAATGCTTCAAAATTATGTAGTATAAGAGAATTCTTTTCAAATAATAGAACGAATCAGGATAAAGCTTGACTTGAGAGCAAGGTTCCAACCAAACCAACATGAGAGGATTTAGTGGAATATCGTTGAGATTGAAGTGGGGTGATTAGTTGTACTTAATTTACAAAGCTATGAAATTTTAAGCGAGTACCATCAAACTTTTTTGGAAGGTTGATCCTTGGTTCTTTTGTTGTTATTATTTTCAGATCATTGCCTTGAGTGGATGCACCTTCCATATTTGAAGTAGATATAGTCATTTGAGAATTTGGAATCTTTGTTGTGATTTGATGTGGTGGTTGAGGTACTCTAGCTCCTTGACTATTATGTATGGTCATATATAGTTCTTCATTCTACTTTGATAAAGTCTCTATCCTAATCTTCAATGCTTCAAGAGTAGTAATAATAAAATCTAACTTGATCTCTTTTGAGTCTATCATATTGACTTTTCAACCTTCTCTTGTAGAAAATCAAAGAAACAGATGCCTTCAAAAAAAAAAAAAAAAAAAAAAAAAAAAAACTGATTTATGATATAAAGAAAAGAAATCAAAAGAATATTAAGAAAAGAACAATATTAATCTAGAAGAGGATAATCCGCAACCTCTAAAATGTTATGGTATTTCAAAAAAAAAAGATAATCCACTCTTTGTCAAGAAAGATCAAGCTCCTAATATTATTTTATGGCAATCTCAACAAATTGTTATGGACCATGTATAAGATAAGGATTCAAGACCAAGGAATGGAATTAACTCAACATTAAAAGAATAATTAGATACAAGGCAAGAAGGTCCTGGTTAGACTACAAGAAGTGAGTTGTCGAGACTGAGGATCCCCTCACCCTCGACTTCTATGTATATTAGGTCCTAGGAAGTTTTTTGAAAAGTTTCTATGAGGCTTGAGAATAAAGTAAGCCTAAGATCTTTCTTCAACAACTTCCTAAATCATCTAAAGCCTCCTAAAATCTTCTAGGATCTCCTATGACCTTCTAGAACTTTCTTAGAATCTATTGAAACCTTTCAAAACCTTCTGGAACCTCTTAGAACCTTCAAGAGCCTTCTTAAAATCTATTGGTATCTTTTGCAACCTTCTAAAATCTTCTAGAATCTTTTGGAACCTTCTTTAGTTGTATGTTTATGACAATAAGAAAGTATGAAAAAAAAAAAAAAAAAAAAAAAAAATTAGCCACTCATGTGTTAAAACAAAAAGGTAGTTGAAACCATCTTTAATAATTATAGTAGTAAAAAATTAAGTAGTTTATTATATTTAAAAAGTATTAAAAATAAAATATCATATAAAAGCTATAAATAACCATATAGTTATATTATAATTATCATAAATAAATTATAATAAAGAGATTATAATTGACATATTCTTATATCATTTCATTGTATATATTTAATCCATTAATAAGTTATAAGTGTTACACGACAAGATTCATAAAGATCTTTGGGACTCTCAACACAAAGAAGAAAGACTTTAAAAGATAAGATTAATAAAGACAAGACAAAATTGATGACGATCTTTAGAATTTTCAATACAAAGAAAAAAAGAGCTTTAAAGTCAAGTTTAATGAAGATAAGTAAAGATTGAGGAAGACAAAGCAAGATTCATCAAGTAAAAGTTATGTTCTAGTTTGAAAAGGACATCATTAGTGGATTACTTCAATATTGACAAAGACATGAATCAACATAGAGAAGAAATTGAAAAACAAAGATAACAAAGATAGATTTAAATTTTAATTATCTAACTTCAACTTTGAAAAAAAACTCAAGTCCAACGACTTAAATTAAGATTGCAACTTTTAGAAGACAAAGAATAATCTTTATCAAGGTTTGATACAAATAAAAAGATAGTTTTTATGTGGAAACATAGAAGGGATATTTGACAATTCTTCTAATGTGAGAATCTAGGTATTTATATAATTTTTAAGTGATAGATGGACTATACATTCAATGTTTAAGATTTTACTCCATCTTAATAAAGATTTGATTTGTAATATTACAAAGAAGGCATCATATACAAATATAATGAGAAAGACAATTCTCATTATATGGCATGAAGTACCAATGAAATATTGTAATTTTATTGAAGTAATCAATAAAACTTTTTAAGACATAAATCACAAAAGAAGTCATTTGGTAGAATTATTATAATCTTTCTTAAAGATTTTTGACAAATTCTTTATATTGTCATTAAATACTCAAGAGAAAAAATTGTTGATGCTTCTTTGCAACAATAAAAGATTTGGTCTTATATTAAAGTATACAAGTTAATCAAAAATGTCTATTTGAAAGGTATATTTAATGAGAATTGATTATTTGATGAAAAAATCTTAAAGATATGTATCAAATAAGATTATTACTTTTAAAAGTTTTTATTTATAAAATAAAATTTATATCTAATATATCTAAAAATAATTTTTATTTATAGATTGAAAATGGATCAATAACTATAGATCCATTAAGAAGTATATTAATTCTTTCAAAACATATAAAAGTAGGTTTAACATCAAATAATTTAATTTAAGTTGTCTATTTGGAACTGAATGAAGATGGAACACTTGGAAATGAATAATTAATCAATAATTTTATTTTTTATGCACAAATTTATAATATTAATGATTTAAACAAACATATTATGAAAATATTTTTTAAAATTTTATATAATTTTTTTTATTTTAAGTTTTTATTTTTTATTTTAAAATAATAATTATAAAAGATGGTTCAGATAATGATAATTATTATTCAATCAAGTATTTGAATAGCTTAAGTCTATTTAGATTTCTACTATTTAGCTTAGAGATAGACATGAGATATTATATTACGTTGTTAAAAAATATTTTTTTATATCAAGGACTTTGCAATGGATCATATTTGATCATTATGTAGTTCATTGATTGAATTATAGAGGCAAGATTGCTATCATGAAACTACAAAAGATAGTTTTTCTTCCAATAATCATATTATGCTTATCATCTACATATATTTTGTTCTAGTTGCAGCAAAGATAATTTTTAATAAAGGACAGAATTGCAATGACTATTAACAAATCTCAAGAACAATTATTGAAGAAGGTAGAAACATATCTTAAAAATCCTTTATTTGTATATAAAAAGTTGTATGTTGTCCTTTCATAATGTAATTTTTTAAATATTATTATAATCGTATATCTTCAAAATAATAAAAATAAAAACACCACCAAAATATACTTTATTTCAAAATTCTTTTAACTAAACTATTTAAGTTTTTTTAATAAATAAAAAATTATGATTTTAAATTAAAATGAAGAAATATAAATGGTTCCATTATTATAAATATACTCTTTTTTTCTTTTTCTTTTTTCTTAGTTAATATTTCTTTAGGAGTGGTCACCTTTTTGTCACAGAAAAAAATGATTAACTTACTTTTATCTTACTTCATCAAACAAAATGATATCTTCAAAGTCTTGTTTGTAGAGGGTTGACCACATCTCTCGTTGACACATCACCTTCGTAGCAATCCAAACACCACATACCAAAGACTTCATTTTCATGGATTTTATCTATGTAAGGGTGTGGTGGGAAACAGTTGTTGTGAAGTTGGATGAGCTTTGGCTATCAAGCTAACTTGTGGATGTGATCCCCCTCCAACTAACCAACCAACCATCCATCCATCCATTCATCCAGCTAACCATGGTGCACATCAGGTGCTTCCAGTGCCATGGCACTGTATTGTGCTGCCTTGAGAGAGAGGGAGGAGGTACCCACGCCCCCTGTGCATCATCATTGTCATCAATAACAGCATCAGCATCATCCCAATATGAGTGTGGCAGCACCTGCTTGTCTTCATCTCAAGCTGCCCACACCACTCCCTCCCAGCTGGGCTTTCTAATCCCACAGTGGTGGCCTCAGATCATGAGCACTCTCCACCCCATCTGCCAATGTTGCCTTTTATGTTGCCAGGAAATCATGGACTCTTTGGTTTGTTGCCTTCTTACTGCTCCTTTGAATGGCTTGTGTGTCAAATTTTCCTTTTTTTGGTGAATGGTTGATGTACAGAGGAGTTGGACACTTTCCTCCCCCCCCCCCCCCCCTTTCAGGCTTTGGAAAATTTACCCTGTGGGAATATTGTACTAGAGTGAAGAGATGGAGATGTGACATTTAAATAATGCACTTCAAACCTTGGAGTTTATTTATTTGTTTATTTATTTATATTCATGGATCTTTCCTTACGCAGACACTTGACAAAGTGGTGTGGAACAATTGAATACCTTTGTTCATTCTAGTCTGGATGATACAGTTCTAGAAAGAGAGAGTGGGAGATGGGAAAAGGATCATTTTCAACATAGTATTCCAGAACGAAAATCTCCCACACCCTGGAAACCTTTCAACCATGAAGTGTGCAAGTGATGACAAGGTGGATCTGGTTGGCTGCACTTTACAAAATATATGTGGAGAAAAATAATGAGAAAGGTCCACGAGGCATGGGCTCTCCTATCTGAGCAACTCCACACCAACAAATCACAGGAAGGGTAGAAGCTGAACGAACCCCCCTCCCTCCCCCGAAGGAATGTAAGAAGCAGAGATGGGGGCATGCCGTTGCCTCTGAGAGCCTGCGCCACTGCAACATACAGACGACGACGCACCCCATTCATTCTGTCAGAGGCGAAGAGAGAAGCAGAGAGGCTCATAGCAGTGGTGTCAGGATTCATCAAATTCATTGTTTTTATTGTTTTCCTTAGGGACCCTCGATCGGTATGATTTTTTTTTCCCAACGAGCATGCTTGCAATCTGTCGACACCGTGATTGATGCCATAGCCAGTATGTAAGCTTCTCCCGTCGGCAGGTGAATCCGCATATTCGCACTTAACGTCATAATTTTGTCCAGGAGTAAGTCCTTCTTATAGCCGTTCTCTTGAGTGTAGTACTGCCGCACTTGGGTTGATCATACCTGTGCAAAGGGAGTAGTCGTTGGGGGAAAAATCACACTGCATAAAAGGGGTTCTGCGTTGGTTGCGGGAGTGCCGGTGACAGTGGAGATCATTGCATGTGCTGAGAGGTGTTCTTGCGCCTTCGTGGTTCGTCGGTGAAAGATTTTGGAGATTGATTGCAAAGGCGGTGGTGCCGGGTTTATTAGGTTAGGCGTTGGTACTGTGTGGGGTTCGGGAGGTGTGCGAGGCTGCAGCTTTGGATTATGTTCATGTGGAATGTGAGTAGATTGAGTCGGTGGGTTTAGTCAAGAGAGGATGGAGCAGCGGGTTGATCTTTCTTGTTGCCATCGATGAATGACAAGGGACAATGACTGTATGTATCGGTTGAGTGCCAGGAGTAGGTAGTGGCAACTGTGGGTTTCTTGTGTTCAATGGAACCGTAGTGGTCATCTTTCCATGATCCTCGCAACGTCCAGACTCCCGCCATGTCCATTGTGGGATGAGTCTTCTGAATCGTATAGCAGACATGGCGATGTTTACTTACACGTTCTTGTTTCTATCTATTCTTTGCTCCTCCAGTTCTAGAACATGAGAAGAAAATTTTCTATGACCAGTACAAGCTTTCCTGTCGTCAGGAACTTCCCACTGCTATCTCTCCGTTGATTGCTGCTCCATCACCGAAAGCGGTGACTAAAGAGAGCTAAATCTGGCTGCGCTTCCCAATATTCGTTGGCGTCTGATCATACCTTGGATCAACATGGCGACAGTTGACGACAGTTTCCGAGCCGTGATATTAATGCTAATGTTGACGACGTTGGCAACGAGCACTCAGCAACCAGGTCCCAAACTGGGATTTTTCAACTACTCGGGGATGCAGGCAATAATTTGCTGCATGGATCACCCTGCCAAGACTTTGGAAGCGGGGGATACCGTCTCCATTCCGCTCACGCGCAGCGACCAGGCTTGCATTGTAACCCTCAAAGACGGGGAGCACGCCACCGCCGTAATTGACAAGGTGTTGCCCAGCCTCCACAACTTGGGCCATTCTGTCTCTGTGGACATCAACGATACGTTCCTTTTCTTCGCTCTGGATGATACCCAATATCACCAATATGTCAACTTTCTCGATTCTCAGGACAAGCAGATCCCGATCCAGAGGTCCTCCGATCTCCAGCTATGGTGAGTTAGACGTTCCACATGTTTCCCTTCATATCTTTTCTCAGTACAGAATTTGTGGTTTCAAGATCCTATTCATCGAGTAAGTTTGCCAACTCAGGTTAAATTTAAATCTTGCAGCCTTGATTTAAGTGTGTATACATGTGTTGACGCACGTGCTGGTGCTTTGAATAGTCTCATTCATTGCTGTCTCCTGCAGGACTATGGAAGAGACCATGAATGACTGATGATGTCTTACGTAATCCTTTCGGACCTTCCAACTTGTGGTCAAACAAGCAGCGATGAGATAAAGCGAAGCTCTCATCGACCTTTGTGGAGGTAATTATCACCAGTGCACCGACCTGTATGAATTTGGAACCCCCTGATATCATGGATGCAGCTCAATCGGACTCGAGTGAGGACCAATCAGGAAGTGCTAAGGCTGTAAAGGCTTGATTACTTCCCTGTCTCTAACGCCAGCTTCGTCAGAAACGTGGCTCAATGTACTGTAGTGTATATTAAGGCTTGCACGCCAATGGCCTAGACATGTTTTCGTCTCACAAAAGTGAGTAGAATCGAAGGAACTTTGATCAATTCCTTGATTGCATCGGTTTTCCTGTGAAAGACAGTGTTTAGAGGCATGAAATGTATTAAATATTGTGCTGCATGTCAGCATCATTTCAATAACAACATGATGGAATTACTAGGAAGTGTGCAGTTCATCGTCACAGTTCAAGATTCTGAATCACCCACATAGATACATTTGGCAACCGTTTCAGTGCTTATTGTACCGTTTAGCATGGTGAAGACGCTAGTTTGATAGATTAGTAGTACATGTGACTTGGAAGATTTGTTTTGCTACGTGGTTCCTGAAGAGCATCCTTGGTTATGGAGTACGCTAACGAAAAATTAGTGTGCAAGTATCTGACATGCTGGTAGCTCGAATTCTGACTACTTGTGCTGATTACTTCACTCTAGAGGAACTTGTGATAGTGATGTCTGTCGCGAAGACATGGCCTTGGTTTTTGATTCCATAACTCCTAATCCCGAAAACTGGAAAACGAATAACTTACCGTTACGTAAACGATAGACAAAATAGGTGTCCATTAACAGCTTACACATCTGAGCTGTCGTTGACTCGTGTTGGGAAATTCCAACTGTAGGGACTAACACCGAACCCTCACTGTCTTCTGATGATTGCCGCTGTGTTACGTACAGTACAACAAAGATAGTTAACCAGAAAGCATTTTCATCGGCGAATCAGATACCTGTTCAGCACAAGTAGTCAGAATTCGAGCTACCAGGGCAATCATCAGAAGACAGAATCCCGTACAAATGAATTAGAGTATTTTGTTGAAGGACGCGTCCTATTCTAAGAATACTCCCAGGCTGTTGAGTCTCGCTAAGGCTCATCTACCACTGAGTTATGGTAGCAAATCCTTCAGTTGATTCGTAGTGTGGTAACTGCAATCTTAAAGCATGCTTTCAGTCCATCTTTACAAACATGGGGAGATGACTAGCATGATTTGCACAACCAGTAACCCCGAGAGCTTGTGTCAATTGACGCCTGTCGAGGTATCCCTACCTCCGATTGATTCAAGAAACGGAGAGCTTCTGTGGGAGTAGTCAATTATCACTGGTGAAAATTCCAGTCAATAGGGCTGTTCTGTTAGTAAACATTCTGATGAACATCTGATTGTGCACTGGACTGACAAAGCTGGAGCAAATCACGGGGTGTATCCAAAGCACGAGATCAAATACTCCCTCAACTATAGAAGATACTCGAAGCAAGCAACAGAAGAATCTCAAGTTGCATACATACCGCAACAAGGAGGCCTCAATCTCAGGTGCCATCTGGTTCCACACCCCATCCCTTCTGTGCAAAATGTGGTCAAAACGTGCCGTTGCTGCATGAAGTTAGTTCACAAAACAACCATATAGTAGGCTTCATGAATATGGAGATTTGAACGTGGTGCTTTCTACATTCTTCCTGGAGCTGCTTCCTCATTGCTTTTGACAACATCCCATTGAGGAGCATGTCCCTCAACCAGTTGGCACCCATACACCTCAAGGATCTCCTGCTTCAGTCTCGAAGGCCTCATAATTCTTGTTTCTGTATTGTTCTGATGCTTCATGCACCAGACGTTGTTCCTCTTAATTTGGGTCTTCAGAAGCAGACTTGGAAGGGAGCATGCGTTGAGCGATGGCCTTCCTCAGTAGCGCATGTGGGTTGTTGGAAAGATCCAGCCCTGGTCCTCGAGAATAAACATTTATGTATGCATGTGTGTGTGTATATATACAAAAATGATATTTTGGTAAGTGTATTTATGCATGACAACGTCAACAACATGCGTCAGCAGTCAATCTAAATTTGGTATGGTGTGTTTAATTTGTTAACGTGAAAATCTAAAAATTAACCTAATCTGACGGGTTGTATTTGTTTATTTTCTCAATTGAAAGTGTCTTATGTGTTTGTCATTTATGCATATAAATGTTCCCGAATATTAAAAAAAAAGGTTGGAATAATTAATTTAATTCTCAATTATTTCATACTTTTGATGCATACCAATTTTCACATGTGTAAAATTATTCATTTTATGATCTTGTGGTTATGCATTCTTGATTCATTTCCTATAGCAATGCTGAATATAAAAATAAGACTGAATAGTATAACGGATGAGCTATAATATACAATAAATCACAATCTTCACTATAAATCGAAGATTTGTGTTTTTAAAACTAGGGTAAAATTAAATTGTGTATTACATCCAATTTAATTTTTGACTTTCAAAGAATGCAAATTACTGTTTAAGTTTCTAAAAAATTTTAATCCAATATTTTCAAAGAGGCTTTTTGGTCATACTGATCACAGTAATATAGAAATTTAAGTATTGATTTATGAAATCTGAAGCAACTACAATGATAACGGATTGGAATTTCAATTCTTCTTTGGTATGTCTGTAACATTTAGTAATGACTTCTACAGTTTCTTCTTAAAAGTAGTAATTAAATAATAAAAATAAATTCGCCGTGATTTTATTTAATCTCAAAATCAACGCATATTGATTTATTACAGTAGAGTTTCTGTACAAGTTTGTTGTAAAAGATAGACACAAATACACATTCACATACATGGGTGCTGATGTCCCTACTACATGCCCAGCTGACTTTGTCCTTTTACTTTTGTGTGGCTTAGTTGGCCATGGCATTGGATAACCTTTCTCATTATGCACATTAAATATATATATATATATATATATATATATTACATTATTAAATAATTTATTTTAAATATTAAACTTACAATAAATTTTATAAATTATTATCAAAATTCAAATCAAAACTAACTAAAATATACCTCACAACTCAATTTTGTTATCTTTTCTAATATAATTGTATATGTATAAAAGAAATTGCATATGATTTTAAAAGATTCAAAAATAACAACATAAAAGATATCATGAAGATTTTTTTATTATTCTTATTTATTTAAATTATTAATTTATTTAAACTAAAAATTCTTTTAATAATAATATTCTAATCAGCATGTATTAATAAACTAGTAATTTTTCAATATATTTTTTGTATTATACATTTCATCTATCTTATAATTTTCATTTAATATATATTTAAAATATAATTTTTGAATAAAAGAAAATATTTAACCTATTTATTCTTTGTATGCATGTAAATATATGAATATATATCTTTATTTATATATATGTATATATATATATATATATATATATGCTAATATTATTTTTTTTCTTGAATTATATTTTTTATTTATTTCTTTTGAGGTGATTTAAATTATATATATATATATATATATATATATATATATATATTTAACTGATTCAAATTTTTACTAAAGCAATCCACCTATCTAAACCAACATTACATCCTCAACCCCTGTTTTCATTCTCCATGTTCTCAACTTTTCCAATCTTGTTCCCATCCATATCCTCCGTCCCAACCCCTTTTGCATTTTCAGCACCAGTTCTCCATTCACTCTATTCCCCTATTTTTCTCATTTCCTATTTATTGTTTCTATTTCCAACCTCCATCGTCGTCTCAAATTGTCAAATCTAAATGATGCTTTACTCCATGGTTTATTCAGTTCATCATCTTTATTCTATCAATATAAGCAAACACACTCAAAAAAATTCCATGTTGTAGTCCTCTGCTTCTTTTTGTGCTACATATTAAAATCCTATACTAAATCATGTATAGCCTAGAAAAATCCTCTGTAACAAAATCTAATTACACAAAATTGACTACAAACTTGATGAAATCTTTAATTTTTATAAATAAATCAAACAATTTAAGATCTGATGAAAAATATAAATGACTATAGATAGGAATTATTCCATATTATTGCCTCTTATTCTACACATATAATGAATGTTGGTAGTCCAAATCAGATCAATATATACCTTTAAATATGAAGCATTTTAAATCCAAACATTAACAAAATGATTTCAAAACAACATTAATATATCTGCTCTTTCTCTAAACTATGTACACAAGTAGGTGTCGATCTTGATAGAACCAAAATCTTCTGATGCAATGAATGTACAAACGTTACCCAAGACCTTCCAATTAATGACATTCATAAGAACTATTACAAATCTATTTGCAGAGTGTAGCAAGCCCAAGGGTGGAAGCCACCAACAAAGGAGTAGAATGCAATTGCTACTTACAAGCAAGAAATAGTTGGAACTAGACTACCCAATACTCAATTTCAATATTGCTAAAGCATTAACTATGTGATGTGTAGTTACAAGACTCCTAGAAAGAAACTAGATGTGTATGGATGCAAGTATTGTTGAAGTGAGAGTAAGATGCAGTGGTAGTAATGTAGTGAAGTTGTGAGGGGAAATTGATTGGGGGAGAGATGTAGAGGATGTTGGTTCCATGCAGGCAAACAAAAAAGTAAGTGTGTGAAGATGTGATTAAATGTTGTGTGAAAGAGGACAAGGGGCCAACATAGCTGAAGAGGATGTGATTTTACTGTGAGACAAAGAAGAGATGAGATGAAAAGATAGGGTGGAGTGGCTACATGGTTTACCAAATGGATAATGTCATTGTGAGTGTGAGTGTAGGGAAGAGAAGAGAAAGAGAAGGAAAGAGAAGAAGAAGAGAGAAGGAAGGGTACAAACATCAATAGAGAGGCTCAAAGACCCACATGAATGTTGTTTTGAACAACATCGAATGGAGGAAGATAGTGGGGCAGGGATATGGAGTGGCAATGCAACAAGGAAGTTTGTTTTTTTGGAGACATGTAATAAAATTGGAACAATAAAGAAAAGATTAGTATGGACCTTGAAGCAAGAGCAAATTTTTTAGTGTGTTTATTTATATTGATAGAATAAGGATGATGTGTTGAATAAACCATGGAGCAAAGCAACATTCAAATTCAACAATTTGAGATGGTAGAGGGGATTAAAAATAGAGATGGCAAGTTGGGGACATGAAGAATAGAAGAACATAGAGAATGGGAAATTGGCACTGGAAATATGGAAGGGGTCAGGACAAGGGATATGGATGGAAATGAGGTTGGAGAAGTTGAAAATGGGGAGATTGGGGATAGGAGACCGGGTGTGTAACGATGGTTTAGATAGCTGAATTGCTTTAGTAAAAATTTAGGTTGCTTTATCATTTTCTTATATATATATATATATATATATATATATATATATATGTATATGTATATATCATTATTTAATTTTATTATCTTTAATGTTATAAAAATATCTTATAATACAACAAAACTAGTTTGTAACTTAGATCTTTTTTCAATTCCTAATGTTTAATATAAATTTAATTTTATATTTTTCATTGGTACTTCTATTGCAACTATTTTCTAGGCTATTTTAATTAGAGCTTATATTCCAAAAAAATAAAATGAAAAACAGTCATGATAAGATCAAATAAAAATTTACAAGATTAAATGACTATTAAATTGGTTAATTATCTAACATGTCATCTTAATTTTATGTAATTCTATTTATTCTTAGAAGTAAATTTTACTATGTGTAAGGTATATCTTGCTTTAAAATACCTCTCTTACATACTCTTATATAAAATTGATTTAATAATTTAATTATTTGTGGTAAAAAAGTACAATAGAATTTAGTTGAATTACTTTAGATATATAATTATTGTATATAAATATGTAAATAACTCAAAAATAAGGTTTCTTGTGCATTAGCATGGTATTAAGATTATTTTTAAATTTTAAACTGTTTTTTGTGGTAAATCTTAAACGCATTAATTTAAATTAATTATTTTAATTGATATAACACATGTAATATAGTTTTAAAATTTATCTAAATAATCATGTTTAAGTTTTTTTTCCTTTTCTTTGGATCATTATATTGCATGTTGATGCAATGAATAATTTTCAAAAACATTTAAAGCAATTTTTTTTATTTTTTATTTTTTATTTTTGCAATATATATTTTATAATAAATTTGATAGATAATTCTAATACTACCTATAAGAATCATGAGTTGCAAGAATTTTTAAAAAAAAAAAAAAGTATCATGTAAATCGAGTGCTTTTGTATATGAAAAAAAGAAAAGAAAAAAGAAATTGTTTGAAGCAATAGCAATGGCTGCAAATTGGGATTGAGAGGCAGCCCCTGATCAAAATTCAGCACCCATGTATGTCAATGTGGATCAGTGCGGGCCCAATGAGGATTGGGTTCTGAGTTCCCAACCTGCCTGCCCGCCCCCTCGTTCCCCAACGTTCCTTCTTTCACTTCCCAGAAATCAGATCAGCGGTTGAGATTGTATCTGAGCGGCTTTTGCGATCCGACGGCCCACAATGGCGAGAGGTTTCTGCAACACGTAGTGACGAGGGCGCCCGCGCCCGTGCCCGGCCGTGCCAGCGCAGCGCCGACTCTTTGGTTGTGCCCTAGCCCTTCGATCGAATCCCCCGCCTGTGAAAGACGATTCTTTTGCAGGGTTCTGCGATTGGGTCCAAATTCCCTGCTGCATCGGGGTTTATCGCTCCCTCTACGTGATCTGCTCAATCCCCTCTTCCACCCCCCACAGCTCGGCTTGATTGCTTGCTTGCGCTCCTGCTGGGGTGCAGCTTCACTCAGGTACGGTGCGATTTGCTTACTTCTCGCCTAACTTGTAGTTTGTCTGCGAGCTTCAGGGTTTGTAGGTCTGTGTTGTACTTTTTTCTGGCTTCGAGGATTCCAGTGAGCCAAGTAAGTAGAAAAAGAAGTTGCTGCCTTCCTTGATTTTCAGCTCTGCGGTATTTTTTGACGATTCTCGTGTGTTTATTGTGAGTTGTCGTTACAATGCGTGGTTATGTGGAGCTGGGTACAAAGAAGATGATGAAGCACACTTAATAGTAGTGTTAGCTTTGTGTTTGCTTATATGGTGGAATATTTTTTATGATTCTCCGTCTGTTGCACCTCACTTTTCACTTCTCGGCATTGTAGCTATTTGGAGATGTTTGCTTCTAAATGAGGCAGAAGTGTCTTTCTGTAAGTTTTCAGCATCGTGCTGCAATTTATCAAAACGTGTTTTTATTTTTATTTTTCCCCTCTTTAACCTCGTATTTGGGGTTGCGTGTAATATCTGCATCCTGGTATGGTGAGGTTTGCAGAAGTAAGTGTGTTCGTCTTGTGCATCAAGGATTATGTTACTACTTGTCTCCTTCCAATGAATCTATTAGCTTAGCTGCGGGTCGTTGTTACATTTCATTAATCTCATGATTCAATTAGCGGGGATTTCAGACGAAACGTTTAAACCCCCCGTCGACATGTTCAATGGGTTTGCTGAAGCAATTTGTGACAGGCGGTGTCCAGCGAAAACTGCCTTCATTCAAACTAGGTTTTGTGAGGGATTCATACGCACAACGTAGTGTTGTTCGTCTTTTTCTCAGGGAAGTACACCGTAGACCTCAACATATGTCTAGTCCAGAGCCGCGCCGTACTCTTAGTATTGTCCGGTTACACTTCTATTCTTTTACCTTAGATTAGAAACGAGTGACCACCCTTAAGTGCCATTGTCCTTACCAGCTATGTTTGTGCAAATCAGAAGAACACTCTTTGAAGAATTGTATATCTTCAACATATGGCGGCAACAATGGCGTGCAACATGGTGTGCTCTAAAGCTGTGGCGATGCAACCGGCCCTTGCTCTTCCTGAATCGCGGGTTACTAGCGTAAGTAAACTTAAAGCAGGATTTCCTCATTCATTGTTTGGACCTTACTCAAATCTCGTGGTTCTTGCCACTATCTGTATATTCTTGATGTTCGGGACTTAATGCTTTGGGCATAACAAGACGATTCATCGCAATGAACATAATCAGGCGAAGAAACCACGTAGTAATTGATTAGACATTGTGAAACCACGTAGTCTCCAGCCCGTCAGCAAGTTAATCATTAAATTCATCTTGCAGGCGTCATGGGGAGCTTCCACCAGCCGCATGTGGGGAGAATCGCTTTCAAAGACTTGCACTGTTAGTGCTCAACGCAAAGTTTCTCAAGCTAAAGGTGCAGAAGTTTAGCAAGTCATTTGACATTGTGTAGTAGTGCCTTGATATTCAGTTCGGGACTTTCTTTCGACTGTTTTTGGGACTTCAAATCACCGAAAATATTTGCTCATTAAAGTGCTATTCTTGTATTGCAGGAATTAGAGCAACTATTGCCGCCGGCGAGGTGAAAGACGAAAAGAAGGGAGGAATTCGTGGGACTTTGAACAAAGTTGTGCTGGCTTACAGCGGCGGTTTAGACACATCAGTAATCGTGCCATGGCTGAGGTGAGGATATTCGTGCGAAGTAGATAGCTTTGTACTTGCGTTTCTCATTTAATATTCTAGTATTATGTTGAAGAACGCATAAAAAAGGGGGGGTTTCGAGACCAGCTTATGTTGGCTAAAAGCACTCTGCCTTTACAGCAAGAGAAATTCTTAGCGGATGGGTTGTGAATAATCTACTTGTTTATTCTTACCTTTGCTTTTACGTTACCGCAGGGAAAATTATGGCTGTGAGGTTGTGTGCTTTACGGCTGACGTGGGTCAGGTATTATGCTCCTTTAGTTTGGTCGATGAGCATCCTTAAAGAACAAAGTTGTAGTTGTGAGCAGTTAGAAACTCCACTTAGTAGCAGTTTGATGAGAACGAGATTAGGTGTGACAGATAATAGTATCTCGGTTTTTATTTATTTATTTATTTATTTTCTGTTTTTTTAACACTGGAAAGCGCAGGGTATTGGGGAAACCTTAGGTCTAGAAGCCAAAGCGAAAGCAAGCGGAGCTAGCCAACTTTTCATTGTGGACTTGAGAGAGGAGTTTGTGAAAGACTATATCTTTCCTTGTCTGAGAGCAGGCGCCGTTTATGAGCGCAAGTACTTGCTTGGCACGTCCATGGCTCGACCTATCATTGCAAAGGTCAAGCCCCGCACATTTTCTGAAGCTTTGGATTTGGATTTGTTTCTGTTGCTGAGTAGTTTTCACCCTGTTTTTGAGTTTTCCATATTTCGTTTTGCGACGGAACTTGACTGGTTGCATATTTGTGGTTTTTGCGCATCACTCTAAAGGCTATGGTAGATGTTGCAAAGCACGTTGGTGCAGATGCAGTGTCACATGGGTGCACTGGAAAGGGTAATGATCAGGTCAGTACCCTTATTCACCTTCGTCCTATTTTAACAATTAATCCCCTACCCTCCGTACTGCCTTCATCAAAAGTAGCTCTTCCCTTCTCTCTCTCTCTCTCTCTCTCTGACATTCTAGTTTTGTGTGCCATTTTGAGCAGGTGAGGTTTGAGTTGACCTTCTTTGCTCTCGATCCAAAGCTGGCGGTTGTTGCTCCGTGGAGGGAGTGGGACATCAAAGGACGGGAGGATGCCATTGAGTATGCCAAGAAGCACAACATCCCAGTGTCAGCTACAAAGAAATCTATTTACAGCCGTGATCGCAACCTGTGGCATATTAGCCATGAGGTCGTACACTGGAATAGCTCGCTCTCTGTTTCTTCTTAACGATGCTTATATCTATTGGATTGCTTCAAACTAAGTTGATTAAGAAGGGAAATTTTACATTCCGTTTGGGTGACAGGATTAATTATCGTGTTGCTTGTTTCAGGGCGATATCCTAGAAGATCCCGCCAATGAACCGGTGGAGGACATGTACGTGATGACTGTAGACCCCAAGGATGCTCCAGACACTCCCGAGTAAGTGCCAAAATCTGCATAGAATTCCGAGCATGCATTGAATTGTTATCAACTGCTGAAGCAAATTCCTCTTCTGGCACGTACTGTTGGTTTCGGTGTGAGAAAATTTGCTTGTGGTTTTCGTTTTCTTGAGATTGTTTATTATCAAATATCACGTCCTTTACCTATGCGCTAGATATTACTTCTATTTCCTTGTCAAATCCATTGAACAATCCCAGCATGTGTTACTGAAGCTTTCTGAATGTTTTCATCTCTGAAGATAAATTTCAGGTTGGTTCTGATTGCGTTGTCAATATTCAACAGGTATGTCACCATCCAGATAGAAAAGGGCTTGCCAGTTGGATATAATGGCAACAAGCTCTCACCTGCTACTCTACTAGAGGAATTGAATGAACTTGGAGGCAAGCACGGTATTGGCCGTATCGATATGGTTGAGAATCGTCTTGTGGGGATGAAATCAAGGGGTGTTTATGAAACTCCTGGAGGCACCATCTTGGCAGTTGCTTGCCGTGAACTTGAGGCTCTCACTCTCGATAGGGAGAGTATGCAGACAAAGGACATGCTTGCATTGAAGTATGCTGAACTGGTCTACGCAGGCCGATGGTTTGATCCTCTCCGCGAATCTATGGATGCGTTTATGGAGAAGATGACGGAGACAACCACGGGAGAAGTCACCCTTAAGCTTTTCAAAGGTTCTGTAAATGTGGCCAGCAGATCGAGTCCCAACAGCCTTTACAGGGAAGACATCTCATCGTTTGAGGAGGGAAGTGGGATTTACAACCAAGCTGACGCAGCCGGTTTTATTCGCTTGTATGGGCTGCCAACGCGAGTACGCGCCATGCAAAACAACGGTCTTTAAATTAACAGCAAACCATGGTGGTCGTATTTTATTTTGTTTGAGACAGTTGGCTTTCATTATTCCAATGTTGTAGCTATGAGGCTTGACTTACGTAAACAGAAGGTCGGATGCGATGTTGAAGAGGGATAGGTTATCGTTTTACATGTTGTCACTCGTGTAACACCTCTAGAGATCCCCTCTGGTGCTACAATTATTAACCGCGCAGTAATAAATGGTAATGCTCTAGAGTTCGGTTTGCTATGGTCCTTTCAGCTACTGTATTGTCCCGCGATTATAGATTCTAAACATCTGCTGTGCATGGGCTATTTCTGAGGCTTTAGTTTCTGGTTCTCATCGCTGTCGGTTTTGCTGTGTCGTCTACTCCTGTGGAGAGTTTGGGGAAGAATCAGTAATTCGACCTTTATTACTTGTACATTAAAAAGCCATATATGCTCCAAATATTCATTCACCTTATTATCTGGGTAATCTCCTCAACTGTACCCATTATCCCCGTGACGATTGAGAATATTTGTATCTTTCGTGCATTGGAGTCCTACTTCTAAACCACGATCTGACAGGCAAGGGTGAGAATATTTGCATCTGACAGGCAAGTTGCAAGAATAGAAATTTTGGTGCCCTTTTTGGGTTAGGTCTGAAGTTCAAAGGTTTTCTTCAGGATTTGTGCTGGAGAAATGTGGTGCATAGGAAAAATTGCATTTATTACCTTAATAGTTACGATGGGCAGTATATCAATCTGTATAGCCTCGGTATTCGGGTAGCATTTAGGTTTCTGCATTCTCTTTCTCCCTCAAGCACCAAGACGATTTGTGAGAGACCCAATAAGACATACTGCAAGACCTGAGACTGAACCTTCGGGCTTGCTCCTTAAAGCAGGCGACGAGGCAACCAGTGTGTGAATCACACCAGCTAAGGCATCTAAGATACAACGCATCTGAATGAAAACGAAGTGAGTGTGCATAAAAGTTTACAACTAAGTAATGAAAATTGACTATTAGAAATATTTATCAAACTTGGAATACAAAGCTAAGGAGAAAAAAGTGAGATTTTTATAGCAATATTTATCAATTTGTAAGGTGGACAACTTCCAATTTTTTTGAGTTGGTACCTAGTATAAAGAAACAATATTTTGCAAAATATAAAGCTAATCCAACAACTCAATTATGAACTAATGCCTATTGTAATATATTGAATTAAGTTAAGAATATGCTTAGGGTTTCTTTAGTAAATTTCGACATTTTAAGGATTTTGAGTAAAACTTTTGATATGATTTATAGTTTGGAATTTAATAGGAATAATATTAAGGATTAGATAGAATTACAATTAAGAATTTGATAAAATTAGGATTAAGAATTTGATAGGATTTAGGATTTAGGATTTGATAGAATTTATATTTTAAGATTGCAAGGGTGTATGTTTGTATAAATAGACTATATATTCTAAGGTTGATAGGGATATAGATTTTAGAATTGATATAGTATATATATTTTAGGATTGATAGGATCTAAGCTATAGGATTGGTGAAATTTAGGATTTCTAGGAAAATCAGGATTGTTTAAGAATGGTGTATTTGAACACTTAACAACTTTAAATTATAAGACATTATAGAGTATAAAAAATATTCCTCAACAAATTAATGTCTAACATATTTTCAAATTAAATTTCATATAATAGAACATTTTCATATATACATACATATAAATATATATATATATATAAGACATTCCTATAACAATCTCAATATTTACTTGAATTTTGTCTAAATTAGAAAAATTGAGTATCAATATATTATATACCTTATGTTAATAGATGTTCTAATATCAAGCATGTTTGACACTTAAAAAGTTCAAATACAACTTAAACTTCTCAAATATTTTTGGTTCTATCAATATATTTAGTTTTTTTTACTTTTATGACATATATTGTTAAAAAAAATGTAACTATTAATAATGACATATTATATATAATAATATTTAAAATCCATGTGCTCTGTTTTGTAATAATACACTTACATTGTTATTAAATTTATAATACTTTTTATATCATAATACAATTATGTATCAAGCCAAATTAATTAGTAAATATTTTTAACCATTATATATATTTTTTTTCTTTGATAATAGCTACTTACTATGTTCTAGTTGTTGAAAGTTTTCTAAGGAGAAAATGAGATTTTAGTATTCTTATTTGTTATTACCAATTTTTACACATGGTACTTGCTTAAATGTATTAGCTAATGATAATTGAATCAATAGTCTAAATCTATTAGATTTTCTTATTTGATTAAGATGTTAATTAGATTATTCAATAAAAAATTTGTCTTAGCTTAAAAAACAAAAAAAATAAAAATATCCAAAAATAAGGTCTTTGACCATATTATTTGACCATATAATATGGTCATAATTTTATAATAGTAGTTAAAATATATTGTATTATTTTTATTTCAAGTCTTATGTTTTATGTATTATTTTCTTAATGGTACTATATATAATAGTATTTGAGATTTTGCCTTATAAGCCACTATGTCATATTAAGAAATATTACAAACATTTTTATTATATATAAACATTCCAATAATAATTACATAATATGTTATATATAATTTTATTTTTCAAAATTGTTTAACAAAATACATATTTACTATTCATCTTTTAACAATCATGTAGTAGATATACTTATGATTTAATTTTAATTTGTGCAAAAAAATATTCTTTAAGTTAGAATTAAACTATCAATAGCATATTGACTTTTTACATTTTATTTAAACCTTAGCATTTTAATCACCTAAAATAAGAAATAATCTAATTAAGATACTAAAACATTTAGATTAGAAACATTTAATAAGAAATATATTTTAAATTAATTTAAAAAAATATATTTATTTAAAATAAAATAATAATAATGATCATAATTATAAGATAAAAAATATCTAAATTATTAAAATTAATTATAGAATAAACTATTAGAAATATTGCAAAAGAAAATAGAATGATCTAGTACTAACTTATAGATGAATCAAAAAGAGCTTAAATAATTATAAACAACAATTTGGTGTTATTAATATCTAATATTTAGATTTGAAGTAATGATTTGCTCAAAAAATTGTTATATTTCTTTATTACAATTTGTTACATTGTTGTCTATATTTTTATTTTTATTTTTTTTAACATGACTACACTAGCATACATAAGTAAGAATTTTTGGAATAGATAAATGAAGAAAATTAAATTAGTTTACAAAGTTGATAAGAAATAAAAATACATAATACTAAAATTTTAGTCTTTTTAATTTGATAAATTTTATAATATTTCTTAATTTATACTTATATTAATAATTAAATACTAAAATATTATATAAATAAATTCATGTCTTGTCATTAAATTATTACCATAATCTTATATCAATTATAAAATCTAATTTAGACATATAAAAATATAATTTCTAACATCTAACATCAATTGATAGATAAATATAAATTTTTACTACAATCTATATATATATATATATATATATTATTTTGTAATTTGATGGATATTTAAAGACTAAAGATAATATCTAAATAAGTCTTAATATTAAAATATTTTGCATGTTTTCAAAAACATTTATTAAAAAATGCTACAAATAAAATTATTATGTGAATTGATAGTAGGTTGATATTGTAAAAAATTATAATAATTTTTAGAGTTATAAAGTAAAGCAAGGAGTTATTATAAAACTAAGAGTTGTGAATGCAAGGAATCAAGTCATGTAAGATGTTAAGAAAGGTCTGTAAGATTTAAGATAGCTAATGAAGTATAACAAAAATACAACTCATTAAAAAAAATGTAGTAGAAAGTAGAAATAAAATCCACTATTATCCAAACTATAATTATAAATAGTTTTGCAAATTTTATTGCAATATTTTAACAAAGACCTAATTAATTAAAAACCAATTTGGACTCATCTTAAATAATCTTATATCTAAATTAAATCAAATTTTAATTCTTAAATTATTTTTTAAAATATAATTTGATTAATTTATTTAGATAAATAAAATAAAATCATATTAACCATCATTATTAATATAATATCAAAGAAATAAATCACAAAAAATCTAAGCATCAATACATTGTTGTGTTATTAAAAATCTTAGATAATCACTTAGAGATGGTATAATTTTAAGACTAGAATAGTTGTTGCTAAAGACAAGAAGACTAGAAACTCTTAGAATAAGATTAAGAATAAGAAAGGTGTTGAAAAGAAAGAAGCAAGCTTCACTCTTGCCTTTGTATATACTATATAACTAGGAACTTTGTAGCAATGTTTTATAAGACCTCTAACACATGTCTTTCGTATAAGATAAGTTTTTTATATGTACACCACATAGCCAACTTGTACCACAAGTTGCCAATATGTGAAATACATGGCCAACTTATTGGCTAAGTTTTCAACCTATTAATCACCTACAAAGACATGTAAAGTCAAATTTGCATCTACGAAGCTTTTCCATAAAATATTATAAAATTTATATACTTTTATTTGTATTTATTTAACTATTCTTATCTAAAAAATTATATGTGTTGGCTATGTCTATAACATTATCTTTTCTTTTAAAGACAAGTTTCACAAGAAGAAATGACCATATGTTGATTTTTTTAATTTGGTTTTGATAGATATCATCAATTAAAAGTATCAATCTTTTTTTTGTATTTGCAAGATTTTTTGTTAGCTCTCATGTGTATTTATAAATATAATATCTTTGCTAATTTAAAATATATTCTAACCTATTTTAGCATCACCTTAGATCCAAGATTTTTTCTATTCAAATTTTTTATTATTGTCCACTTCTATGGAGGGAAGTAGCATTTATTTTTTTCTTGATATATTCATTATCTTGTATAGTTTAAAAAATAATACATAGAATACAAGATAAATTTTATAGACTTTGATAGCTATAATTAATATGTAATTGAATTGATTTAATCACAAATAGAAAATGGTGATAGAAAAAAAATAATATAACTTATTACAAGAGCAAATAGTCTTTATATCACAACAAAATAACAATATCTTAGCGCTAATGTGGAATTGAAATTGTTCTTTACAATGGATATATGTACTGATCTTTTGTTATTTTTAATCTTTTTTTAATTATACCTTTATTATTACATGTAGTAATAATATAAATATATAAATATAAAATAAATATTCATTGTTGATTCAACCATTTTTTAGCAAATTTAATCAAGTATGTCTAAGATGCTTTAATTTATGATATTAAAAACTATTCTTCTACATTTCATGATCCTTCTAAGATTGAGTTCAAAAAAAATATTCTTTATTTCAAAGGACGCTTATTTATTTTAAAAGTTAAAATTTTTTTGATTTTTTTATCTTTGAATTGATGGATAAACAAAGTTTTTTTTGTCATTAATCAAACATTGCATCTCTTTCTTTTGATACAAGATAAGAACTTT